GTGAAAATCCCAGTAACTGAGCAGATTGTGAAATACTCAGACCAGCCCGTCTGCCACGCTCAAAATTGCTTAAATCACCTTTCTTTCCCATTCTGACATTCAGTTTGGAGTTCAGGAGATTGTCTTGACCAGGACCACACCCCTAAATGGAATGAAGCAACTGCCATGTGATAGGTTGATTAGATAATTGCATTAATGAGAAATTGAACAGGTGTTCCTAATAATCCTTTAGGTGAGTGTATATGTGTGTGTATTCTGTTCACAGGGTTAAGCTTTTTACAAACTCATCCTTCTCTCTGCTGTCACTAGGGTGTTTCTAGCTATTGAAAAGATCAGTTCAGGCCCTAAGTTAGGTTTACCTGGGGCTTGTCCTTTTTTTTTAGAAGGAAGATTGGCATCAGGGCTAAAATACTCAGGGCTATATCCCCAAGTGATCGGACCTAGCGATGCCTATGGCTGTCACTAATGCACCGGAGTAGATCTTCATCCACATGATGTTTTTGTGAAGCATTAATAAGATCCATCAAATATTTTTTGACTTATCACATTCACAAGATCAAATGTCTTTCACCATTCTCTTTGCTGACACTGAGCGGCATTGCTTCAATTTTGGGGCCATCTCTCTCAGAATTGAATCAGTTTCATTTCATCTCCCATACGGTGCATTTGCAATGTTTGAGAAAGATCCATCAGACATTTTTAAGTTATTGTCCTATCAAGCAAAGCACCTGCAGCAGCAGTGGTGGATCGATCCCAAAACCATACCTATGTTTTCTCCGTCCAGAGAATGTAACTATCAGTACTATGATAAAGCCCATGATTTACTATTCTGTATTTGGAATCTAAGGCATTTTACACTAATGATCAATATACTCCAATATTCTAAATGTGTTTAATAAAAAATATGGATGTGGCTGATAATTACAGATAAACCTCTATGGGTGTCATAGTGCTCCTCCTCCTCCAGCCACTCTCTCCACGCCTCTCTGTTACACATGTCGCTTTTATCCGCCCTGTCATTGGTCTGGTTTATGTAAAGAATATCATCATAATAGCAATGCTGTTTTCTCGAGAAAGGAGGAGATATTCTGACAGAACGGTGGATTAAACCTGCATTTGACTAAATATACATACGCTTCAGAAGAAAGTAACATAGAGGCACCTCACAAAGTCAGTGTAACTCCATCAGTTATGAGTTTAAGGACAGCATGCATCTTCCTGCGAGGAGGGAAAAATATTGTAAGTTTTCTGTCGCTGCTTTGACTGTATTGACTATATTGTGACGTGCACGAATAACATGAAACCCTTCTAGAACCTTAATTTGAATGTTTTTTGCTGAATGACAAAGAATGCATCAACATTTTATTTTCTATTTATATGTGTAATAAAATATACATCATGTACCTTCCAAAAAGCTTTCTTTTTTACTTCTTTGAATGTTTTAAATAACTGAATGTACAGTAGGTGGTACAGCTACATTGCAATTATTTCAGTCATGCAGCCAGGCATTTTCAATAATTTTCATAAAATTATCATTCATTCTTTGTAGTTGTAAGCATTGCATTACGAGACTGACTGTATAACATGTACCAAAATTGTTTCATTCATGTTTTCATTTGTATACCCAGAATATATATTTTTGTGTATGTGTATTACTATAAAACTTTTCCTTTTCAGGAAAGAACACTGGCAGATGATGAAATAGAAGGTAAACTCCAATCCTTCAGTCTGCTTCTTTTTAGTTTTTCTAGCTGTCCTGTCCATTCCATTGACATATAAATTTTGTGAGTAATGATCATTTAGGATATGAATATCAAATATGATATATTTCTCCTGTTGTTCAAATTTCTGAAATATTAGAGGCAGTAGTCACTGATAAATATTTTCCCCTGACTTTATAATGGGGAATCTGGAACATTCTAAGAAATTTTATATACTTCATACACTATAAAAAATATTTTACAATTACACAAGCATTAGTATTTCACAACTGGCTGGATGAAAGGAAAGCCTTTTAAAAGGTAATCTATTTAATGCTACTTAATTATATAATACAGTGAAACAGATACACACATTAGTATCTGTCCTTATTGTCTCTGCAGCATAGATCAGTCAATATAACTTCATGTGCACACTCCCTGTCTTATTGTAGAATTACAAGAGGCATTCAATGAGTTTGACAAAGACAAGGACGGCCTGATCGGCTGCAAGGACCTTGGGAACTTAATGAGGATGATGGGCTACATGCCCACAGAGATGGAGCTCACTGAGCTGAGCCAGAAAATCAACATGAACTGTGAGTCTCACCACACAGTATCGCTTATGATGAGCTAGGATCTGCTTAGCAAGCTGGGTACAACACAGAGCAAGATTATTTATTCTTTGTAATGGACAAAGAAGTCAAGTTTTAATTCACCTCTGATTTTTAAAGTAGCTGCGAGTAGTGAACAATCGATGCTACTCAGTATGGTTTGCTATGAGCAGGTGTTGTAGTGCTTAAGATACTAGGCTGAGTGAAATTGGGGGGCTGCATCTTTTCATTCCATGTGAGTTACTTCACTAAAAGTATTGTATCTGGAAGTATAAATGCCTTTAGTGCATAGCTGTTGGGTGTCCATATAAATGTCCTGGAACATAAGTCTCTCATATCAAAGAGATGAATAAGAATTTAATAAACACTAAAAAAGATGACAAACAGATCTCTATCCCTAAGAACCATTGACAGCCTGTATATGTATGTATACATCTACCCATCCTAAATGATTGCAGTTCATTGGTGATTAACCATTAACAGATTAATTATCGATCAATAACAAACTGCGTTCAGAAGAGCGACAAGCTTGTCCCAGGACTTTGAAAACATCTCCATCCTCCCTCCATCTCGCTATTCAAGACCAATGAATGTTTCTGCCATGCAAGACTGATATTATATTTTTAATCACCTGTTTATCTGTATGCCAGACAAGTCAAGAAGATTAGATGGAAACACATCTTATTCCTATGTTATGTTTACCTTGGGCTTTGGGTTTGTCAAAGGCACTATATAAATGTAACTTTTTTTTTTATTATATTATTATAAACAAATAGTATAGATAGAAAATGGAATTTTCAAAACTCAGCTGGTGTCCAGACTTGGCATGGTACAAATAGTGTTTTAATCAAATTAAAATGAAGTGCACTGAACACTAGCTGAATTAATTTATTTTCTATCATGTAAGACACCATTTTTAACCCTCTACACGTCAACGATAAACACACAGGAACCTGCAGCTAATGTCTGACTCCAATTCCCATCACTCTTCAGTGGGAGGAAAGGTGGATTTTGAAGATTTTGTGGAATTAATGGCCCCAAAACTCCTGGCAGAAACCGCTGGCATGATTGGACTAAAGGAACTAAAGGATGCCTTCAAAGAAGTGAGGATAAGCACTGTGTAGCAGTCATATCTGCCAATGATTTACCCTAAACACAGGATTCAATCAGAGAATAAGCTCTTGCTTTTGTATTCTCTGCTTTAGCTGTCTCTCTCTCTCTTTTACATCCAATTAGCTACATGTGCACTTACTAAAATGACTTCTACTTCATTTTCTTAAAAGTTTGATTTGGACGGAGATGGAGAGATAAGCATGGAGGAAATGCGGAGCGTCATGAACAAACTACTGGGACAGCACATGAGTCACAGAGAGATTGACGCTGTGCTCAGGGAGGCTGACAACAATGGGGATGGCTCAGTGGATTTTGAGGGTAAGAATGGAAATTCTGCAACAAAGAAAGCAGACAATCCCGTGCTGTGTTGAGCATTGGTTCAAAACTGGTTAAGCTGCAGGACCTACATTTTTCCTTGGTTATAAAGTTATGACCCAAATTTTTTTTTTTTTTTAACCAAACTGATACCACACAAAATAGTGCAGCAAAAATAGTGCAGTAACAGTAGCATGGTGCCTTCATGCCTTAATCAGAAACGCATGTTCTTCAAATAGTCCAATATCAGAAAAAAAAAAAATCCTAAATATTTTTTAACCACACACTTGGTGACCCAGTTAAGATCCACTTTTGGGTCATGACCCACCGCTAGAGAAACAGTTGTTTTGAGTATTTGAACTTGAAAAAATGTGAAAATGTATAGCCATTCAAATACCTGCTGTTTGGATGCAATTTGTATAAAGAAAGAACAAAAAAGCAACAAGAAATAAATAGTGGCGTTAGCTCTCCATACAACTCTTCATACAGCTCTTCACACGGGGTATGCTGATATTTAGTTCAACAGCATTGGTTAGGTTTCAACATTGCAAGTGACCAAATCAGGTACAACCCCCCCACCCCACCCCCCCAAAACACACGGTCCTCCCACATACTCAAACCTATACTCTTGAAAATATAATGTACAGTAGATCATCAGTAATTAGGTTACCAAAAATTTGGTCATTCATTGCAATTTGATCCATACCAATGATGATCATTAATGAGGTTATTTTATTAATATAATACAAAACAAAACAAAACATTTTTCTATTAGTATTAGTATGTCTACATTTATGTTGTTGCATTTCATAACAATTTCATATCAACCTATAAATTATGATTTTTTTCCTTTTTTCTAAAGAATTTGTAAGAATGATGTCTTGCCAATAAAAGACAGAAGAATTAAAAATGTGGAATAAGAACAAAGGGAAGGAAGAATGTGTCAGGCCTGCCTAGTATGTTCACCTGTAACATGTTAATTGTTAATTGCCCTACCCTTATTGTCCTCATGTGTTTCTCTGTTGTTGTAGTGTATCTCTTGTATTGCACAATCAACCCCATTGACTTGCACCTGTATCCTGTTTTCCCTTGTTTCTAAAACCAAACCTTATCACTGTAAAAATTAACACTTCCAAATATGAATTTAGTTTTATATAGATTAATTGTGTTGTTTGTTCCCCTCTGAATGGAATAGCTGTGTGTCTTTCTTTAAAATCTGCCCATTGTGAATGTACAATGTTATGATAACCAATAAAGAAAATGTTAAAACTTCTCTTTATTCAGTTCCTAAATTGATATTAATTGATGATAGTCTAGCCACCTTCCACAAGCTCTCATCCAGTACTGGGTCATGGTCAGCTTGGATCCTATCACTTGGTACACCCTGGGTGGGATATTAGGCCATTGAAGGCCACACACTCAATAAGCAATTCAGAGACACGTCACCTAACCTGGATGTTTTTGGACTCAGGAAGGAAACAGGAGTAGCCTGAGGAATCAGATACAAATACAGAGGTGGGATTCAAACCCCCAGATTTACAGGTGTCTAGTCAATACATATTTCATTTGACTAAATCAAAAATACAGTAAATAGAAAAAACAAAAGACATAACAGGACACCAAAAAAGCAAAAATAAATCTGATACAGAATTGGATTAAAATAGAAAAAAAAACAAATATAAAAAGTAAATACATAAATATTAATAGCATATAAATTAAAAGAGAGGGAAAAACAGATTAAATATATTGCTAATCTGGGACCCCTCACAAAAAACATAAATATAGAGTTTGCAGATATAAGTGAACACATATTGGTATTATGTCAGTCTTTGAGCATAATTGTAATATGTTCCAAAGAACTGCATATATCTTAAAATGAAACACAATAATGTATAAATATCAATTCATCCACCCATCTATCTTCCAACTGCTTATCCTGTATTATATTTTATAGAAATAGAAACATAATACTTTCACAACCTTCTTTAAACATATGCCTTTATTAAACTATTTGCAGTTTATTTAAACCAAACTCTTACACAAACATAAATAAAAATCACTTTGGTAATCGATTTAGACATGAAATAAACCCAACAATGTCTGTAAACATTTCATTTCCATGAAAATCAAAATGATTCCATTAATCCATATAATGGGAACTCTTTAGGAACAGATGGTGGAAATGTATCTGTCCAGAATATCTCCAGTTTGGGGATTAAATAGGTAAAGGCAAGAAAGAGGATATAAACTCCTGTAATCTGGATTTAATCACAACACTGCAGTGAATTTATAACGAAAGTCAGTGAGAAAGAGAGTGAGACAGAGAGCCTGCAAAGCAGTTTGTTCCAGGTGCCTGTACATGTGCTGACTTTTAGCCTATTTCAATCACTGTAAAACTGCAGATCTTCAAAATGTGAATTATATCAATCAATGTTTATTTACAATAACCCATGAAATAACAAGCACTGGTTGAAGTTCAATATATGATTAATGTATTTGTATTTCTATAAATAAAAGTGTGGTAATTACATAATGTATCTGAATAATCCAATTCAATATCGGCCATATTCATTTTTGTGGAATGATGCTGATATTGCGCTTTGCTTCAAAACATGACAGCATCTCAAAAAGATAGATATGTTATAGCTCACTACCAACAGGTATGTAAAAGTTTACCTAGAGTTTGGCCAAGACGGATAACATTTGCTGATCAGCATGATGTCCTTAATTATATAATTAGAATACAGATTTTCCATTCATCTTCTAACTATTTATTCAGAACAGGGTCACAGGAGGCCTGGAGCCTATCCTTGGCAGCAGAGGACACAAAACAACAGAACACCCTGGATGGGAGCAGGACACACACACATACCCACTCACTATGGCCGAAACCCCTGCAATATGGGGAGGACATGCAAATGGCACAAGCACAGACCAAGGCTATGCAGTAAGAGTGAATCCCACTGAGTTACTGTGCTGCCTGAGCCAAGGTCACAATCATTTTATTTTCTAATAGTCTTTGCCAAGCTAACTGTATATATTATAGGAAGCTGTGTGTGACAGTAAAGGCACTCAGATTACATGTGACCTAAATTTCTAATTACATCTGACCATACCCTTTTCAAACTTGTCTTATTAAGCAGATTCACCAGACGGAATGAACTTAATGCAGTAAAAGGTCACCATGGCCATGCTGCATAGCCTCCTGACCACAACCCAGGCTTTGGAGACTCACAGACAGTTTGTTTCGTTTGTCTATTTCATTCGGATTGATTCCAAATAGGGATGTTCTTTTTAAATGGTTAATGAAGGCTCACATCTGGCTGCCCTGTTCCACATGCATGACCCCTAAATGCCAAACAGCATGTTACAGTGATTAAGTAAAAAGAATTAAATTGACTAAAATCAAAATACCTCGTGATCCTGACCAGGATAAGCGCTGAGAAGAAGGGCAAATTACAGTATAAGCAAATTATATCATCCATTCCTGACCAACCACTGCATGTCCTTTTAAAGTTTCATTCATTCATTCATTCATTCATTCATTCATTCATGCATGTCCTACCTTTTCTAAATTTAAATTCAAAACACCCGTTACTATGGTATGATGTACTAATTGCTCCAAAAAGGGAGAAGTGAGAAGTAAGTCCCATTATTTTCACACTAGGGCAAATATTTCATAAAATACTTTTTAGCAATTAAATACCTGTTTAATTCCGATACATATTATTCAAGAAACTGCAGACAGGTTTTTAAACATTTTGCAACTCAGACCACTGTAATTATAGGGGTGGTGCCTGGCCCTGTGGATTAAGACTGTGTCTGTGGTTTGAAGGTCACCAGTTCAAATCCCATGGTTAGCAGAGTGATCACTATAGTGGTCACCATCCAGGGACCAGCTGACCCTGCGCTCTCACTTGTACATTACTTTGACAAAAGCATTTGCTAAATAACACTAAAGAAGTAAATCGACTTGTAAACTGGTTATCTACTACTGCAGACCACAAAACAAGGAATTGGGTTTAAAAGAGGTAAAATATAGGGTACAACATAGTAAATAAAGCTTAAATCTGATTTGATAAATTCACCTGGAGATTAATCACAAAAAACATTTACTTATTTAGCAGATGCTTTTGTCTAAAGCAACGTACAAGTCAGGAAATTTAGATCAGGGAGCAGAGGCATTCCAAACTCCCAGAGCAATTGGGGTTAAAGGCCTGTCCCAAATGTGATATTATTACTCTGTTGTCAATAGAATTTGAACCCACAACCCTTTGGAATTATATACCACTCACATCAAGCCTGAGATCACTTGTATGACTTCAAATACTTTTAAATCTAAGATAATATATTTTAATATATTTCTACTGGTGTTTTTCCTTTTATACATATACAAAGATGCTTTAAAGCAGTTTAATTTATATATTGTTTTTCTGTTGTTTTTATATATTTTGTTATTTTTATATATTATTTTTTGTTATTTTGTTGTACATGGCCCAATTGTGATAGCTGAGCTCTTTATTCATACAAGTACATCACTAGGAAGAAGGAGAAAACCCCAAACTACATCATCCCAACCAACTGCCAGGATTCTGCTCAACATGAAAAGAGACTTTTGGAATGGAATCCTGGGAAAGAGACTGATGACTTGGGGATGGCTCCAGAGCAAGATATAAACATAAGAGCAATGATTTTGTGGATTACGACTCACAGGAACAAGGAGGTTCCAGGAGAATGGCCAGATTTTGGTTAGGGCTGAGGGCCAGATGGCAGACAAAACATAGCAAACAACACCCTTTGGCAAACACAGCCCCAGGAACAGGAGCATGGGCATGAATACACAGGAAACTAAATGAAGACTAGAAAAACTGAGAGTGCAAGCTGGCCTAGACTGGCCATCTTGCATATCATTGAGCATTTTTTGATAGGTTTTATTCCGAATGGTTGTAACTCACACCCCCCCCCCCATCTTATTATGCCATGGGGATCCCAAAGTCCAGCCCTGAGTATAACACTCATTATATGCAAAACCAATTATATAATTCCTAGACCTGCTATTTCTTTATTATTGTGACAGTCTTCTTCTGCTGTGGAGTTGAAAAGAAGGTGGATGCTGTGATGTTCCTTATACATTTATAGTAATTTCATAATTCCACACAATTGTTGAAATAAGCGTTGGTGTGACTGACTGAACAAAGGTGCACAGCATGACAGTCCATAGCGACACATCTTGAGAAAAAATTTATAGCAATAAGAAATCTGATTTTCACTAGAAGATTAAAATAGGATGTTTCAGAGGAATTCTGCTGCGTAAAGTATTACATTTACTCAAAAGTGATTTTTTCAGTTTACTTCTATTTGATTATTGTTCCCAGGTTTGGAAATGCAAACCTTCATCTGGGTATTCAAATACTAATATACATATATTTACTTGTTGTCTAAAGCAACATATAAATGATGATTTGAGAATAGGGTCAGCCTGGTTATAGCTTTTTATTTGTTTTGTTGTTTTATCATTAACATTGATATTCTGAATATAAGAGAAAGTGTGGTGTATTATACTAAGTGACTTATCTTGAAGCACAATTATGCCCTGTATACAGTGAATTTGTTAAATATTTCTGCACATTTTCATATGCAGGATTTCAGTTTCAGCTTTATAAAAGGAGGATTTTTTTGAGGAGATGAAACGCCAAAGGAATTAGGAGCAGAAATGGGTGACTCTAGATGCTCAGCATCATGGCAAATGGCAGAGGCTGAGCTGGATGCTGCAGGCTGGCAGTGGAGGGGAGAGTGGATCAGAACACTGTGCTGCACTTACTATAAGAAGGATGAGCATCCTGCAATTATGAAATAGTCACGTGTCAGACACTGCTCTGCACCCTGTACCTCCCTGTATGAGCCAGAGGAAGGTTTGCTGAGAAGAGGGATACCCTGAGACTGAACTGTGCCGCACCCATTTCTCAGGTGATAGGCAGTGTTGGGCATTTCAAGTCCAATAGCTAC